GATTGGGGGAGTGTTCATTAATTGCACCTGTGTGAGATTTGTATCCCCATAAAGGCACACCCCTAACTCACTGAGCTTGCTCACATTATTTGAAAGCAGCCTCTATTAAGTAGACTCTTTCAAGTAGGAGTTAGAAAACCAGGAGTTCAAACTAACAAGGTAATTGTTTTTATTTTCTGTTTCAAGGGGAAATGAGTGTTAACAAGATTGCTGGTTGACTCAATGCACATCTTGTACCCGTCCAGGGTCCATACCTCTGTGATGGTTGTGTGCGAGTGGCTTCTCTGGAAGCTCAGATTGGAGATCTTGAGAAGCAAATCGCAACTTTGAGGGAGATTGACAATCTTGAGAGGAGTCTACTGCTCACTGAGCAGAGTTTAGTGGGGACAGGTAGTGGAGAGGGAGGAGATAAGACAGATGGGGAACAGGCATGTAGCTGGGTGACAGTGGGGCGAGGAAGCAGGGGGGGAGGGAAGAGGAAAGGGCTAGCTAGTCCTGATTTGGTGCAACCTAGCAGATTTGCCCGCTTGAGGGAAGATGTTGGGAGCATCAGCTCAGGAGTAGCTGTATTAGAGGAAGCTGTTACTTCTAACAGCCGAGCTAACAGCCCCCCTAGTACGGGTGGGGATCAAAATGTAAGGAAGGCAAGACAGGTTGTGGTGGTAGGGGACTCTATCATTAGGAGAGCAGATAGGGCAATCTGCCGCTCTGATCGGCTCAACCGGACAGTTTGCTGTCTCCCGGGTACTCGGGTCCGGCATGTTGCTGACAGAGTGGATGGATTATTGGGAGGGGCTGGGGATGACCCAGCGGTCATGGTCCATGTTGGTACCAATGACAAAGTAAGAGGAAGATGGAAGGTCCTAAAGAATGATTTCAGGAATTAGGTAGCAAACTTAAGAAAAGGACCTCCAAGGTGGTATTCTCTGAGATATTACCTGTGCCACGCGCTACAGTGGAAAGGCAGCGGGAGATTAGAGAGGTCAATGCGTGGCTTAAGTCTTGGTGCAGGAAGGAGGGTTTTGGGTTTTTAGAGCACTGGGCCGACTTTGCGATTGGGTACAACCTTTATAGTGGTGATGGATTGCACCTAAACGGGAGAGGGTCTGCAGTGCTGGGGGATAGGATGGCTAGAAGGTTGGAGGAGATTTTAAACTAGTAGTAGGGGGGGAGGGTCATAGCAATCTACAAAATGGAGATAGGACAGAAAGGAGATGGGCTTTAGCACAGTATAAGGGGGGTGGAAACGGGGGAGGGGCAAGCTCAGAACAGAGAAGCTGTGTAATGTTGAAAATTCACAAAATATACAAGTGACGCATAATATTAAATGTATGCTTACTAATGCAAGGAGCCTAAATAACAAAATGGGGAACTAGAGGCATTAGCATACACTAAACAATATGATATAATAGGCATAACTGAAACATGGTGGGATGAGACACATGACTGGGCAGCTAACTTAAATGGGTACATGTTATTTAGGAAGGATAGGAAAAACAAGAAGGGTGGTGGGGTATGTTTGTATGTCAAACATGATTTAAAGCCAAATGTTAAGCAAATGGAATGCGAGGAGGATAATGTGGAAGCTTTATGGGTAAATATCTGCTTGGGGGAAAAGAAGGGAAACCAACTATTGGTTGGGATATGTTATAAACCACCTAATGTTAATATTGACGAGGAACAACAGCTGTTTGAGCAAATTGAGAAAGCTGCAAATCTGGGTAACACTTTAATTATTGGAGATTTTAATTACCCAGATATAAATTGGGACAGAGGGACTAGTGCCTCAGCAAAGGGAATTAGGTTTTTAAACTTGTTAAATGACACCTTCATGTCACAACTTGTACAAGCACCAACTAGAATGGATGCTTGTCTGGACCTGGTTTTAACAAACAACGTTGATCTTTTGACCAACATTCAAGTAGGTGAGCACTTGGGAAATAGTGATCACAATATAGTGTCCTTTGAAATAAACTCAAAAAAACAAAAGCACATGGGGAATACTAAAACATATAATTTTAAAAAGGCCAATTTCAATAAGTTAAGGGAAGCTTTACAATATATTGACTGGCATAAACTCTTTAGTGAAAAGAACACTGAGGATAAATGGATCATCTTCCAACAAATATTACAAAGGTACATTTCTCAGTATGTACCATTGGGAAATAAATATAAAAGAAACAAATTAAAACCAACATGGCTTAGTAGAGAAGTAAAACAAGAGATTACAACTAAGAGAAGGGCATTTAAAGCATTTAAATCGGACAAATCAGATGCATCTTATAAAAGATATAAGGATGCAAATAATGCGTGCAAAAAGGCAATTAGACTTGCTAAACTTCAAAATGAAATAATGATAGCTGAAGAGAGCAAAACCAACCCCAAAGCATTTTTTAAGTACATAAATTCTAAAAAACCCAAAATGAAAGTGTAGGTACACTAAAAACTGAAACGGGGGTGTTAGTTAATGAAGACCAGGAAAAGGCAGGAATTTTAAATAACTTTTTCTCCTCCGTATATATTAAGGAAGAACCCATGGCAATAGATGTGCAAATGATTGCTACTAAAAACTTGCAGAATAATTGTAATTGGTTAACTCAAGACAAGGTGCTGCAGCAACTAAAGAAAGTTAATATAAACAAAGCTCCAGGGCCTGACGGTATCCATCCACGTGTACTTAAGGAACTAAGTGCAGAAATAAGTGAACCTCTGTTTTTAATCTTTCAAGATTCTTTTCTTTCAGGAAGTGTTCCGGAGGATTGGAGGAAGGCAGATGTGGTTCCTATATTCAAAAAGGGTTCAAAATCCTTGCCTGGAAATTATAGACCTGTGAGCTTAACTTCTGTGGCTGGTAAAATATTTGAAAGTTATTAAGGGATAATATTCAAGAATTCCTTGAGAAGAACATGGTTATCAGCAAAAATCAGCATGGTTTTATGAAGCACAGGTCATGTCAAACTAACTTGATTGCGTTCTACGAAGAAGTAAGTAGAAGTATAGATCAGGGTGTTGCCGTGGATGTGATCTATTTGGATTTTGCCAAGGCATTTGATACAGTTCCACACAATAGATTAGTGTTCAAACTCAAGGAAATCGGTCTAGATGAAAATGCTTGTTCTTGGGTAGAACATTGGCTTAAAAACAGAGTACAAAGAGTTGTCATTAATGGTAAATTTTCAAGCTGGACAGAGGTGGCAAGTGGTGTCCCTCAGGGGTCTGTTCTGGGACCCCTTCTATTTAACATGTTTATAAATGATCTTGAAGACCGCATTGAAAGTCATGTTTCAGTGTTTGCAGATGACACAAAACTTTGTAAAACAATACAATGTGAGCAAGATATTACTTTGCTGCAGAGGGATTTAGATAGACTGGGAGACTGGGCACTCAAATGGCAGATGAAATTTAATGTTGAAAAATGCAAAGTTATGCACTTCGGCGTAAAGAATACACAAGCAACGTATACCCTTAATGGAAGCGAATTAGGGATAACAACACATGAAAAGGACTTGGGAATTGTTATAGACAACAAACTATGCAACAATGTGCAATGTCAATCAGCAGTGGCCAAGGCCAGTAAGGTATTGTCATGCATGAAAAAGGGCATTCATTCTCGGGACAAGAATATAATTTTGCCTCTTTATAAATCACTGGTAAGACCCCATATTGAATATGCTGTGCAATTTTGGGCACCTGTTCTAAAGAAGGATATTATGGCACTAGAAAAAGTGCAGAGGCGGGCTACAAAATTAATAAAAGGAATGGAACATATCGGCTATGAAGAAAGGTTAACAAATTTAAACCTATTTAGTTTAGAAAAACGTCGCCTGAGAGGGGATATGATAACATTATACAAATATATTCGGGGCCAATACAAACCATTGTGTGGAAATCTATTCACAAACCGGACTTTACATAGGACACGAGGCCATGCGTTTAGACTGGAAGAAAGAAGATTTCGTCTAAGGCAAAGGAAAGGTTTTTTTACTGTAAGAACAATCAGGATGTGGAATTCTCTGCCTGAAGAAGTGGTTTTATCAGAGTCCATACAGATGTTCAAACAGCTACTAGATGCATACTTGCAAAAACAGAATATTCAAGGATATAATCTTTCAATGTAGGGTAATAACTGCTTGATCCAAGGATAAATCTGACTGCCATTCTGGGGTCAAGAAGGAATTTTTTTCCTAGCTTGTTGCAAAATTGTGCTTCAACTGGGTTTTTTTGCCTTCTTTTGGATCAACAGCAAAAAACAAATGTGAGGTAGGCTGAACTTGATGGACGCAAGTCTCTTTTCAGCTATGTAACTATGTAACTATGTAACTAATACCCGACATTGTACTGGGTAACCAGCCTGACTTGCTAATGTCATAGTTACCTTCTCTTCTAGCAAAGGCGGTTTTGAATTTTTTGGAGCTCTGAGTGGAAACCAACCAGATAAGCCTTTATCGGTTTTGCCTCTGGTTTGGCTTATCATTTTTATAAAACAGCTATTACATAACATGTACAACACTTTATTTACTGAAAGGTTTTTTTTTCTTCTATATTATTTATTTTAATGAAAAATAGCAATTATTCCAATGACAGGCCCAAAGTTTAATAATAATAACCAACTGTTCATTACTTAAATGCCTATATATTACTAGAATTGAGGGTACAAACTGGTTGGGTACCTCAAGGACTTACTCTGAACTTTGAATGGGACAACCACTTCCCCATTACTCTCATACTGCAGAGCTGTCCAGCTAAGAACATTTCCATTTATATCATTGACCAGAACATTTTGTATATCTTCCTGGCTCAATACAAAATCCCACATATGGACATCTCTCATTTCACCCACAAATGACTGAGCAGCTTGAAATCCACCCCCAAAGGAATCTTGATCCTGTCCCAGGATAATAAAGGTTGGTATTGGAATAGTAAATCCTTTATTTGAGATCTTTCTTGGATAGAGCTTCCCATTGACCCAAAGTTGGATCACTCCTGTGTCAGAGTTCCAGCTCACGCAGGTGTGTTTCCAGTCGAGAACCTCTGGGTCAATCTTGAAGCGATTTTCTTCTTGGTTAACATAAACTGAGTAGACGTTTGGTGGCAATGTTAAGATAAGAAAAGTGTTGTCTTTTTCTGAGCCAGGGCATGCCAGAGAAAAAAGAGAATGTTCTCGAGTGAGTTCAGTGTAGGATCGAAGACAGACGGTAAGCTTTTCTAAAGGCTTTGCTGCCTCGGGGTTTAGAATGATGTGTGCGTTGGCAGTTTCTTTAGGGAAGAGAAAGGCTTTGTTGCTCAAATCTAAACAGGACAGAAAAGATTGAGACGGTACAAATGATTTACTATCCAAACTCCACCCCAACCTGAGTAGAAAACCCTCTAAATTCACTCCCTATAATAATTATATTTATATTCCTACCGAAGCCAACCATTACAAAACCAATTTACACTAATGTTCATAACAATAATCGGCATATATGACTTCATATGTTTTCAATGAACGCATGCTCTTTGATAATTATGTTTTGCACTCAAAATCACAACAATTTCATCACTTTTAATCTCTAGTTTCATTATAAAGTAATGGGATTAATGACTCGGGTCTAGTAATATTGAGAAACATTAACTTGAAAACTTGTGTATGTGAATGTGGATGTTTTTATCTTGCAATCAAACTGTCAATATCCATCACTATCCTTAAACACAAAACTATTGGAACAGCTTTATAAGTTGAGGCCTAACATATGAAGAGAGTCTGATTTATTTGTCAACACAATTTTGTTGAACTTTTTCTGGTTTTATATTATGCCACTGAGCATTATTTCTCTTATGGATGTGGTATTTCAATAATAATGTTTTTCCTAGAAAAATCGCTGGATCTTAGCACATCCATGTGATTTTTATTTAAAAGTGCCGGATCCATACATTTGGGGGGGAAATTACTCTGGATCTTTAAATTTTTCATAAAAACAATGAGATCCTTCTGGATCCACATGTTTTTGCCTATAAAAACTGCTAGATATTACCAGATCCATACATTTATTTGAGAAATTACTCTGGATCCGGGAGAGATACCTCTCTCGAGTGCCTGACCCAAAACTTCATATGCTGCTAAAAAAAGTTTAAAAGATCCATAAATGTATATGCAAGTATGTTGCAAAGTTCATGTGGAGCATCTTGCAGTTTCTTTAAAAATATAGATAAATCAGGGCACTCTAAGCACCAAAACGTTAGCTTATTCCGGTGTTTTTTGTGTATAGGTCATGTCCTTGCAGTCTCATTGCTCAATTCTCTGCAATTTATATTAAATAACTTTCGTTATGCAGCGCTAGTCACACCTCCCTGCATTTAATGTGCACAGCCTTCCTAAAGACTTGTACAGGGGGCTGTTTAATCTTCCTTTACTGCACAATGTATTTAATTTAGAATTTCTTATCCCTTGCTCTGTTAATAGCCTGCTAGAGTGTGCAGTTACCTCTAGTGGGTGATTAAAGTTTAACAGAGAAGGAGGTAAAAACTTCTAAAGAAAACACACTGTGCGAGTGTGTGAATCACAGCCAGGGGAGGTGTGGCTAGGGCTGCAAAAACAGAAACAAACTGTTCAACTCCTAAATTGAGCAGTGAGAATTGAGCAGAATTGAGCAGTGAGGCTGCTAGGGCATGGTCTATACACCAAAACTACTTAAGGAACATGACACGTTATTATAGAAATACCACACCATTTACTTTTGATGAAGCTTGCATTTTATTCATAGGGAGATCTAAAGAAGGTTAGAGTATGTCCATTGGTGAAGTCTATTGATTTGGCGGATGTGCAGAAACACAAAATGACTGTACGGTGTGATCAACACAATTGGATTAACATGTAAACTAGGTTTTGGGTAAAGAAAGCTCCCAAAATAAGAAAGAAATATCAGAAGATTAAAGCAAATTATAGTACGAGAAAATTATTAAGACAATGCATATAAACAAGGCAAACCAGGAGTGATGGGAGTGAGCGCAGGACTTGATTTTTGTATTTGTATTCACTTTTTGTATCACACAGCTTTGTTACAATGCTGCCGCCGATCCCATGTGTTCCCTATTAAGGGATAATAAGTATATAGGGGTGTATATAAAAAATACCCCTTTCTGTCTCATTAGAGATATCTTTGCCAGAAGCTCAAGGAAGCAAGGTAAAGGGTCAGAGTAGGACCCGTCTAGGGGGGTCTGCCTTGACGTTGGCAGGCGGGCATTCCCTCCAGTGGCCATTGGAGTAACTAAGTGACCTCCATTTGTTTAAATATACATAGGGATTAAGGAGAGAACGAAGGTAACTTTTCTTTCTTTGGTTTTTACTGTATGTATTGGGGCTGATGTGTGCTATGGTCGTTGCTGCCGCCCAGGAGTGATGGGAGTTTGAGCGCAGGACTTGTTATTTTGTATTTGGAGAGAGCGCAGGTAACTTTTTTTTCTTTGATTTCTTCCTAAGCGTAGGAAAAATACATAAGACAAAATAGTCCCTACTTTGTCTTATGTTTTGAAGAAAACTAGAGCAGACAGGAAGAAAAGAAGAACAGATCCTGAGAGAGGGAGAGAAGAGCAATCGATAGGAGAAAGGTAAGTTTGGCGTGACAGTGCCGCTTTTAGGGGAACAAATCACAAGGATAATTAGTTATTGTTATCCAAGATGTACTGTCTTAGAACTCAGAATTATCGAGCTAAACTATGATTCTATAAAAAAAAAAAAAAAATGTAATATTGGTTATGTTAGCACTCGATGCACTGTGTGGATTGCACTTTATACGTTCTGTTTTACTGCACAAGTAGTAGACTCGAGCACATCAAGATTTTTCAGTTCTTGCGAAATTATAAATTTTGCTCAGTACCTTCATTCGTCAACGTGCCAGCTCGGCAAGGCCGAAATTCGGTCATGAGAGCTGGATTACTGCTGAACCAAACACTTCTAACAGGGAGGGAGGAGATTCAAATCAGCATCCACGCCTGTGCATCCATGGTGGTGCCATTAATTAAATAAACAAAACTGGGGGACATAGTTGCTATTACATTACAAAATCAGATGGCGCTCTAAATATATAATAATGCAGTGGAACATAGTTTCCTCATCTGCCTCTACCTGTGGCAAGAGAGAGGCAGCTATAATTAAAATGCGCTTTGGGAACATCATCCAGCAAACTTGTCAATGGCCAATCAACTTCTCCTCATGGAGGAGCATTGGAAACCGATGCTCACGTGTCGCAAGTGCCAGGTGCGCATTCAGATATGGCTCCTAGGAAAGCATTGAGTTCAGTGCTGTCCTACAAGTGCCCAGGTCACATAATTGAGTTTTATATGGTCTTTCTGGAAGACAGCCACTACCCTCTCAGTAAAGTAATACTTCCTGATATTATTTTTAAACCTTTGCCTCTAATTTAAGACTATGTCCTCTTGTTGTGGTAGTTTTTCTTCTTTTAAATATAGTCTCCTCCTTTACTGTGTGGATTCCCTTTATATATTTAAATGTTTCTATCATATCCCCCCTGTCCCGTCTTTCCTCCAAGCTATACATGTTAAGATCCTTTAACCTTTCCTGGTAAGTTTTATCCTGCAATCCATGAACCAGTTTAGTAGACCTTCTCTGAACCCTCTCTAAGGTATCAATATCCTTCTGAAGATACGGTCTCCAGTACTGTGTACAATACTCCAAGTGAGGTCTCACCAGTGTTCTGTACAATGGCATGAGCACTTCCCTCTTTCTACTGCTAATACCTCTCCCTATACAACCAAGCATTCTGCTAGCATTTCCTGCTGCTCTATTACATTGTCTGCCTACCTTTAAGTCATCAGAAGTAATCACCCCTAAATCACTTTCCTGTTGAGGTTAGGACTCTATCAAATATTGTGTACTCGGACCTTGGGACCAAGATGCTATCATATATGTGAAGAGGAGAGTAATTGTTTCACTGGATTTGTAAGAAAGCAAGAAAGATGATCTGGTAAATCATCAGTGAGAAATTAAAATGTTGTTTGTTTTTGCGTCTGAAGAATGCTGTGGACATGTAATGGCATGTCATTTAAAAGTCTAAACAATCATGGATCAGTGATCACACAAATGAGTGTGGGCAATAGGTAATTATCTTGTGAAAATAGTTTTCTTGGGAAAACCTTCCATGGTGGCAGCTTGATTTACAGCACAGTTTCTCATCCCATCATCAATGCACAAAAACAGTCCAAAATGTGGACATTTCCTAATTCTGACCCAAAACTAGACTGCTGATGTGTCTTCAAGCCTGGTTTTGAAACCACTCTTTTGGAGAATAGCAAAATCCACGTATCCAGCCAAGGGCAAAGACTGGCAACAAGCACAAAACGTCAGATAGAGGATGAAGTTTATAATCATAGTTTACATCGATATCAAGGAAGTGGCTGATCTGAGAAACTGAACTATGAAATGGTCCACGTTGTGCTGCATTGTGGGAGGCTGATGATAGTTTGGGTCCAGTTCTTATAAATGTAAAATTACTTTGTTGTGGACAAAAATATTAACTCAATTCATGTTAGTAAAATGTCTACTTACTCAGCATAACCACAATCAGCATTATTCAACAGTATATGTGATTTACCTAAAATGGCCGCTAGGGCGTTTCCCCTTGTCATCAACTAACACCCTCATTAACAAGATGGCGCTGGAATCTGGGGGAGACCTCCAAGATACCAGTGACATCACACCCGGTAGGAAGAGCAATAAAAGAAACCACTAAACACCTAACCAATTATTGATGTATTATTCCATGTTATCTCTGACAATGCATATGATGTAATTCTGCTTTATAAGGGGCATCCCATCCCCCTGGAATAAACTCTTCCTCAAGTTTTTCATTAACCCGAAACCTGTGTCTGGTGTGAAATACTACAGGAGCGTGCACGCATTATTTTATTTGGCCGGGGGCAGATACGCAAGATAATCAATTAATTAATTGATTCCACATCAGTAATGTACCAAACAAAATTTTCTTTAAATCTCATCACCTTGTTTTAAGATGATCCTAGCTAAATGACAGTCAGCAAATATCATCGAATAAGGTCAGGTGTCATATTTTAAATAATACCTCCCAACTGTCCCTGTGGGATACAATTCCTGCCATTTTGGATTACTGGACTTCTCAGAACACTAGAAGGTACATCTCAAAAGTTTAGCTTAAGCGAGGCATTGGGTGTTCTATTGTCAGTGTTATAACAACCTTGGTATTTTGCTGCAGAATTTGTTGGTGCTTTATAAATTATAACAATTAGTGTTTAATGTTCTACACAGGGCCGGCCTTAGGGGTGTGCGAGCTGTGCGACCGCACAGGGCGCCATGGAACAGGGGGCGCCCTGTGGCCGACACAGCTCACTCATGGCCGGAGTGCAGGGGAGCTAAAAGAGGTACCTGGCTGGAGGATTAATTATTCTCCACCCGGGTCTATTTAAAAAAAAAAAAAAAAATCGCAGCAGAGGGGGCGGGGTTTACCGAGCGGCGGAGGCGGGGCTTATCGAGAGGCGGAGACGGGGCTAATACCTCCCGAAGCCCCTGCTGTACAGGAAGAGGGAAAGATGCTTCCCCATCAGCCAACTGCATCCACTGGAAAGAGGTAAGTGTGTGTGTGTGACTGTTTGCCTGTTTGTGTGACTGTCTGTCTGTCTGTGTGTGTGACTGTCTGTCTGTGTGACTGCCTGCCTGTGTGCGTGTGACTGTGTGTGTGTGTGTGTGTGTGACTGTCTGTGTGACTGCCTGTCCTTGTGTGTGTGTGTGTGTGTGACTGTCTGTCTCTGTGTGTGTGTGTGACTGTCTCTGTGTGTGACTGCCTGCCTGTGTGTGACTGTCTGTGTGTGTGACTGTCTGTCTGTGTGACTGCCCATGTATGTGACTGCCTGTGTGTGTGACTGTCTGTCTGTGTGACTGCCCGTGTGTGTGACTGCCTGTGTGTGTGAGACTATCTGTCTGTGTGACTGTCTGTGTGTGTGACTGTCTGTCTGTGTGTGACTGCCTGTGTGTGTGACTGCCTGTATGTGACTGCCTGCCTGCCTGTGTGTGTCTGTCTGTAACTATCTGTCTGTGTGTGACTGCCTGCCTGTGTGTGTGACTTTCTATCTGTGTGACTGCCTGCCTGTGTGTGTATAACTGTCTATGTGTGTGTTACTGTGTGTCTGTCTGTGTGTGTGACTGCCTATGTGACTGTCTGTCTGTGTGTGTCACTGTAGCTATGCCATTGTTTGTGCCCTTTGCCTGTATGTGTGACTGCCTTTAACTGAGTGTGTGTGTACATGCCTGTAACCGAGTTTAAATTTCCCCCACCCCTTCCTGTCAAGGCCGCACTTTGACTGACAGACGCTCACTCACTGACAGACGCACACTCACTGACAGACACACACTCTCATATACACTGACAAACAATGACATACACACATACACTATTACTTGGACACACACTGACAGATGCACACTCTCACTGACAGACGCAAGCACTCACTGAAAGATGCACGACTCCACTGACCGACACATACACACTGACTGACACACACTCACTGACCGACACACACTCACTGACCGACACATACACACTCACTGACGACACACACTCACTGACCGACTGACGACACATACACACTCACTGACTGACACATACACACTCACTGACTGACACATATACACTCACTGACCAACACACACATTCACTCACAGACACACACACATTCCACTTACAGACACACACAATTACACACTTACAGACACACACACACACACACACACATTCACTTCAAAATAAACACTCACAGACACACACACAGACATTTCCACTAACACTCACAAACTAATATTTTTTACATTTATTTTAAATCCACCCAGCCTCCCTGGGAAAGCTGGAGTGGATTTCTTACCAGCAGTCCAGTGTGGCTGCTGGGCAGGCAGGCAGGGGGCGCACAGGCTGAGTAAGCAGCGCTTAGTGATGCCGGGAGCCGGACTGACGTCATATTCTGGCTCCCGGCTTCATTAAGCGGCGCAGAGGAAGCTGAGCAGGAAGAGCTCAGGTGAGTATGCTCCTTCGCTGCCCGCTGCCAGCCTTGGGGGGGCTCAAAAGTGGCCAGCCGGTCAGCTCTTGAGCCCCCCAGGATGCGAGGCAAGCAAGGGATCTGCCTGGGGGTTTGGAGGGATGCTTTTTTTTGCCGCCCCCTGCAAAGTGGCGCCCAAGGCAGATGCCTTGTTTGCCTCGTGATACACACGTCCCCGGTGCCTGTGTGTGTTACTGTATTCAGGCAACTTGGTGGGAGGTGGGGGGGGGCGCCGTGAAGACTTTTTGCACAGGGCGCCTAATTGCCTAAGGCCGGCCCTGCACACACACACACATACACACACAGTTACAGGCAAGCAGACTGTCTCACACACACATACAGTTACAGGCAGACAGTTACACACACACAGTTAAAGGCAGGCAGACCGTCACACACGCACACAGTTACTGGCAGGCTGACAGTTTCTCTCTCTCTCACACACACACACACACACATAGCCACAGGCAATCATACACACACAGACACACACTGTCAGGATTACAGTATGATCCAGCACGTGGAATTGTGTAACACAGAGTACTGATAGGTAACGTATACCGGACCTTAGAATGGCCGGACTAACGTACCAAAGAATAGTCAGGAATAGCCGAGGTCAAGGGATACAGAAGGAGACACAATGATAAGGAAAATCAGGGGTGCCAGAAAACAGGGAAGTCAAAAACAATGCCAAAGTCAAATAACCACCCCCAACTTTTCTTAGCCCCGCCTCCACTTTCCTTCCGTGTGGCCAGTTCAGCTAGTCTCTGCGTGTGTGAGCTGTATCATCCTCACGGTCTCCCAGCTGCCATAGGGGCACTCTGCCGCCCCACAGCTTACACATCCCCCTCCAGCACCCAGACCAGGGTCAAGCACCCCCTTACCTGGTGGCACCTGGGGCGATCTGCCCCCCCCCCCTTAGTATGCCACTGTAAGAGAGTAATTTATTTCCTATGTTCACACTTGATGGCTGCTGCTTTCCCCAAGCACACTCATATGTCCTCAAGTGGGAGAACAAACTATGTTAATTATTGTCTAGAAGAGGACAACTTCTGTGGAAGCTTAAATTGCAGAAAGCTGGAGGGACCTTTGGAGTTACTGTGATTATATTCTATCCTAAAGTGGATCTGGTAACATACAGACTTGTTATCGTATCTGTCAAATTAATATATGCAAAATTATATTATCATCATATAAATTAATAGTTTTGTTTTTTAGTCATGACAGTACCTAACTGTCCTTTGCACAATCTGACTGACATTACACCAGGTGTGGATCCAAAGTCAGGTACCTAAGGTTTGAATCTTTTTGTGCTGTGTTTTTACCCACAGAATCACCTAGGTTAACAGCTTCTGAAGCCTCTTCCCACTTTTTCTGATCCATCAGTGTCTCTTCTATTTGGATGCATTTATACATTGTTAACTATCAACAGCAAAAAACAAATGTGAGGAATGCTGAACTTAATGGACACAAGTCTCTTTTCAGCTATGTGACTATGTAACTATGTAATTTACCTGTTGTCCATAATTATTTACAAACCTCTCTTGTTTGACAACATAAACATGTCAAATCATTTACCTCATACTTGTCCAGTCCTATAATTCATCTACAAACCTTTTTAGTGAGTTAAATTATTTTACATCCATTATTATACTTTATTATAAGACCCAAATTTGTGTCATTTATGGTCAATTATTGAAAAGATGGTGTATACTGTAAACCAGACTAGAGTTAAGACCAGACCAGTCAATTGCACGTGAGCAGTGGACGCTTAGTGAGTGTAAATATTGATAACGTGTGACCTTCGTGTACAAGTCAGAATATTATAGAATTTGTAGAAGGAAAGGTTTCTGCTGTTGGACATTCAAGAACACTGGCTTATAAAGGTGTATGTAGTTCACATCAGTTTTTCTTTTTTTTTTTTTTTGACATATGCACCATTATTTCAAGGCCTTTTAACAAGGAATTACATAATTTGTTTCCTTATTACAGATAGTTTTTTTCTGTGGCTGTAGGATAATTCAATACAGGAATCTCTCCTTTGAAACTATTTGTTATTGAGAAGTTGCCTTATGTTGTCTGAAATGTAAGGAAATTGTATTCTGCATTAAATATCAACTACATTCTTCCCCTTCCCAAATGTTACTTATAATTTATCTCTGTATTGTCACATGTTTCAGTTATGCTACATACTAATGTCATTCCCAAGGCAGCTGCTTCACTTCATGTTTAGTGAGAGTGACATTGCACCATGTGTGATAATGTGAGCTAATGTAATCATAGGACATGCAGGATAGTCTGAATGTAGAGGCCTCACAATGATCTCACTTTGATCTTAGACTATAAGAAGCAGATTGTAAACTCAGTCATAATATTTACAATATCTACTCATATCAATGAGTAGCTGCAATTCTCTATTGAAATTCTCACTACGCTAAGAAATAGGAAACCTAAATGATATCGAAATATGATATCAAAATTACTAAATAATCTTGCCAAACAACCCCACAAACAATTCAATAATCTAATTATACAGTCATTTTTGTTGTAGTAGATACACAGGAATTAAGCTAGGGCTTGACAGTTAGGATTCAGGGTATAATTATTATAGGCTTTTAATTATTATAGATATATAATTTATGTAATGTATGTACATTTGGATCTTAAATTTGACAAGCCCTGGCCATTAAAATAAATAAGTGAGAAATTGTAAAAATAAATGAAAGAAGACAGACAACTGTATGTAATGCATTCATCCTCTGACTTAGGGGAAACAACAAAATATTAAGGGGGCGCTTTAGGCACCAAAACATTAGTTTAATGAAGCAGTTGTGGTGTACAGATCATGCACCTGCAGTCTCACTGCTAAGTTCTGGGCCAATTAGGAATTATATCACTTTGTTTATACAGCCCTAATTACACCTTCCTGCATGTGACTTGCACAGCCTTCCTAAATACTTGTAAAAATCCTTTATGTAATTTAGAATATTTTATCTCCTTCTCTGTTAATAGACTCCTAGACTCTGCAGGACCCCTCTGTGTGTGAATAAAATTGAATTTACAGAGCAGGAGATGCAAACTTTTTTTTCATGCAGGCTGTGCAAGTCACAGTCAGGGGAGGTGTGACTAGGGCTGCAACAAATGTAGCCCACGGACCATAGTAGCTAAGGGGAGTGGGCCTTGACATTGCTAGGAGGCAGGCATAGACTGTTAGTCTTGTTTATGATTGAGTATAAGTGCAGTGGGGATGGGAGTTTTCTGGGGGGTATATAAGGAGGCCATTTTGGGTCAGGGGCCATCTTAAATTAATCCTCACTTACCTGTTGTTGTGACAGGTTTGTGTGGTGTCTCTTGCTTTTGTCTTTCAGGTGAATTCTTGCTGATTTCATAGAATGGAGGAGTTGCTGGAAGGAGTCCAGGTTGCTGTGCAGGACAGAGATGTCATTTGGATTCAAGGGTGCCTTGGAGAAGCTCTCCAGCCATCTGGGCCTACTTCACCACAGGAGCATTGGCCAACAAAGCGCACAAGGCGCCTCAAAATGTGAGTCCCAATGAGATGCCCGGCAGTAGTAGGAGAATGAGTCCTTCTGCTGATCTTGCCTATGCTGAGGTGGATATTGGTTGGAGATCCGGGTGTTCCACTATGCAAGGAAGGCATCAGTGTGCGGACACACATTCAGTTATATTTCCAGGATCAAGGCTGCAGATGAATGTTAAGGTCACAAATTGGTGCAGTCAGTTGCAACTGATCGTTCAGCTTGTAAACTAGGAGTCCCTGATATGACTGAATCTTCGGGCCATGAATCAAGAGTTACAGATTC